ACGCAAAGGGGTAATTACAGCGCAGTGAGATCAGAGCTATGACGAGGATTGGGCAAGAAGCCCAGAGGAAGGCAACAACCAACTCTAGGCCGAGGCTTCATAGCTGCCCCTCTGGGGGGCTCCCCAGGTGGTTTCCAATCATGAGGGGCAACCATGCCATCTGGGGGGCGGGCAAGAAGGCAGCTGGCTCTGGACTTGTCGGCCTGGGTTCCATCTTGGCTCCACCATGGAACTCTGGGCATGTTTCCGTGTCTGTAAATTGGAATTGGGCACTTACTGAGGGCTCCATTCCTGTCAGCAATTTGTGAAATATGTGAGCATTTGTTAAAACAAAAAAAGAATATAGCCCTAACTGGTTTGGCTCAGTGGATAGAGTGTTGGCCTGTGGACTGAAGGGTCCCAGGTTCGATTCCGGTCAAGGGCATGTACCTTGGTTGCGGGCACATCCCCAGTAGGGGGTGTGCAGGAGGCAGCTGATCGATGTTTCTGTCTCATCGATGTTTCTAACTCTATCCTCTCCCTTACTCTCTGTAAAAATCAATAAAATGTATATTAAAAAAAAAAGAATATATTTATGGGATGTCTCATAAAGTTAGACTTTTCACTTTAGACCAGGGGTTCTTAATAGGGGTAATCCTGCCCCAAGGGCACACTGGATAATATCTAGGGACATTTGTAGTTTGTTGTCACACTGAGGGTGCTCCAGTCCTCGAGGGATGGGGGCCAGGAATGATGCCCAGCATTCCACAGTACCCAGGACAGCCCTCAGAGGTGACATGAGCTCAGGAGCCTTGGCCTGGACCTGTCGGTGCCTTTTGCATGTCTTCCCAGGTCACCGGGACCTGTAGGGGATGGCATCCTTGCAGTTACTATTAGCAACATGATGGCTTAGGAGTCCTTGGAGCCACACTGCCTGGGTCTGACTCTGGCTTTGTCCCCTCATGGCCATGCAGCCCACAAGTCCAGATGAAACCCAGGGTCCTGAGGCCAGCAGGGGGGCGATGGGATGCCATCACCAGTCCTGCAGACCAGCAATGCTGACCTCTCGAGACACCTGCACAGGGGGTTTTGTTGACTTCTCCCTTAATCTTTTGTGATGACATGCTCAAGAACAGCCTCATGATAGCCTGGTCAACCTTGCAGCATCAGGTAAAGTTGCCCAACCTGGGAGCACCTGTCTCCCACACCTGGGACTTCCTGGTCACGATTCTACTGACCCGCCAGGCGTGGTAAAGGGCCCCCTGCTCAGTGCTCTCCCTCTGTGCCCTTGCTGCTCCCAATTGCCTACAACAGCAGCCCCAACTCCCCTGCGCTGCAGTGACTTGTGTCCCCACAAAATGTACATCCATCTGGAACCTCTGAGTGTGACCTTATTTGGAAATAGGGTATTTAATACGTAATTAGTTCAGGATCTGGAGATAGGGTGAGGTGGCTCTAAATCCAATGCCAAATGTTCTTAGAAGACAGAGGAGACGGCAGCCATGTGATGAGGAGACAACGGCTGAAGTGAGGCCTCCACAGCCCAGGGACACCCAAGAGCTAGGAGAGGCAAGAAAGACCCTCTCCCAGAACCTCTGGAGGGAGCTCCGCCCTTGCAACACCTTGATTTCAGACTTCTGGCCTCCAGAACTGTGGGAGAATATATTTCTGTTGTTTTAAGCCACCAAGTTTGTGGTAATTTGTTGCAGCAGCCAGAGGGAACTAATACACTTTCCTGTTGACCCTACATCCAACAGATGCTTCTCAGCCTTCATTTACTGGACCATCGGGTACAGGGCTACTGCCAGCCCACACGGTGTCTTTGTGTGAATTAGGAAAAAACTCTACAAAAAGCCTTCTATAAATATCCTTGCTGTGATGTCTACGGGGAGAGTGGCTTGTGCATTGCTTGACCTGAACAACTGTACACGGTGGCCCTGCTACTGACCACTTTTCCTCCTGGGAAGATGTCCTGGGATGCCACTCTCTTCCTACCTTCACTGCTGGTCTGCCTTCACATATTTTTTTGTGGGTTCTCTGAGGCTGGGGCTCCTCAAAGTTGGAGCCTGGGCTCTTCTCAGCTCTTCTGAGGCCTTCGCAATTCTTCCCAGTTGACAACTTCCTGTCCCAGTTGCACATCTCATTGCAGACCTACTTGTCCACTTTCCTGCTACGAGATTCTCCCAGCTCCCTGACTCTGGGAACTTCCCCCAAACCAGTAACCTTCCATCTCAGTAGATACCTGGGACTGCCCTACACACTCCCCTTCCACCCTGGCCCCAGAAAATCTACCAGCTCAGCCTTCAGAGCATGTCCACAGCCCATGTATGTCCCACCTGCTCCTCTTCCAAGGTCACTATCTCAGGGGTGGCCCGAGCATCCAGATACCCAGCTGCTCTCTTGTCTGGCTGTCATCTTGGATACCCTGCATTCCCTTTCCTTCTGTGGGAGAATATATGTGTTTTAAGCCACCAAGTTTGTGTTAATTTGTGGTGATGTGGCTGCTCTGCTCAGATGCCTGCTCTCCACACGACTCCCACAGCTGAGCTCCCTCCCCAGCACCTCTGTACTTTCCTTCTTGTGGTCTGCACCTGTGACTCTTTCTGGAGGTCTGCCCAGAAGCATCTGGGAATAGCTTGGGAATCAAGCTGAAATGCTCCCTTGGTTGGCTTCCTCCTTCCTGGGGTCTCCTGGGAGCACCCTCTTATAAAATCACCCCCATATGAGTGCTTGCCTCAGGCTCTGCTGCTGGAGACGCCCCTAGCCAAGACCCAGTCCACCCACATCCAGTCAGTGACTTTGTCCAGTTGATGATGCTTCTCCCCAATCCACCTGATGCAGACCATGCATTCAACACATATTCCTCAACCACCTTACATGGGCTTACAACTGTGGGTAAGCAGGGACTAGAGGGGAGTGGGAAGGCGCCATCCCCTCTACCCCACCATGCTTCAGCTGTGAGAAGGCAGTGAGTCCCACAGTGCACCTGTATGGCCTCCAGGCAGGTGCACCTGGGGCACCACCTTTCTCTGTGCGTCACTCAGGGCTCTTCCTGGACACCCCTTCTGCACGCTGGGAGCCTCCCTCTAGGATAGGGGCATTGGGTGACTAGGTGCTTTCTGTCTCCACAGCCCAACCCTATAAAATATTCCTTTTCTGGCTCAATGGACAGAGTTTCTATGCTTGTAATGAGCTAGCTAGGAGGGACCTGGCTCTACCTTGGGCAAAGTCCTCTCTGGGCTCCATGATTTTAAAAAGGTTGGGTGGGCTGCAAGGGGAACTCATTACCTACAAAAAGGCATCACAAAAGTTGAAGCCGGCGCAGAGCACGCAGGTCACTGCCAGCATACGCTGGGTGCATCCAGCGTCAGGGAGGCACTGTAGACTATAGTTCCCAGCATGCCACGCACTCAAGCGCCGGGACCCGGGGCGAAGAACCGCGCGGAGCATGCTGGGAATTGAAGTCCGACACACCACCCCGCCCCACCCCCGCCCAGGCCCGACCCAGTCCCGACCCAGTCCCGCACCTCTGGGAGTGGTGAGCCAGGCGAAGGTGCCACAGCGCGCGGCCCAGGCGCTGCTGCTGAAGCAGGAGCTGGCCCGGGGGCTCCCCGGCGCCGCCGTTTGCAGGCGTACTTAGGCCCATGTTCTCGAAGTAGTGCGCCAGGAAGGAGATCGGTTCCTCGGGCCGTGCCTCCAGCACCTTCAACAGGGCCGCGCGCAGCATTTTTGTCACGCCGACCTGCTGCAGGAAGTCCTCCTCGCTCTCGGTCGTGGCCGCTGCCCCGGACACCGTTGGCCGGCTGCTGTCTGTGAAATTGGCCGCCGGGGCCATGGTCAACCGCCGCTTCTCCACTGCCGCCATCTTTGCTGAGGGCAACGGGGCCGGAAGTGCCGTCATACTCCACAGCGCGCCGGCGCCTCTTGGTGGCCATCTTGGTTAAGGGCAGAGGACGCCGGGTACCTCTGGGCGACTGGGAAATCAGTAATGCAGGCCGCCCTTTCCGTTAGGTTCTAGTTGGCATTCCCCCTCCAGTTCCCTCTTTATGCGTACTGGTTGCCTTTCCTGGCTTAGGCCCCGAGCTTTGCCAGACTGAAAAACGGCTCCCAAGGAAGGGCCTGGTTTCTGACCTGAAGCCGGACTGCTTGCCAACTGGGTAGTGGGCGCGTCCTTCCTTGCATGGTTCCCTAGCAACCAGTCTCCTCGGTTACGGGAGCCCCTGGCCGTGCTTGAGAGGGGATGCACCCACCCGGATTCAAGGATTGAGCGCCGCCCTGTCCCATTTCTCTGACTTTTGCGCTCAGCCTGGACTTCAGCCCAACCCAGTCTTGGTCTGAGTTTATAGTTCACCGCGTGGGGACCCCGGCCCCAGCCACCCCCAGGCTGCGGTCTGCTCAGGGCTCCCACGGCCCCTAGACCCCTGTGCGTGTTTGGGGAGTGAGTAGACCACCCACAGCCCCCAGTTCCCCATCCCAGGCCGTGACCTTCCTCACACTGTACCCTCTAGGGCTCTCAACACCCCCCTCGTTCCCCAGGGCCCACAGGCTCGTCCCCGGCACCTGCTGATCTTATTTCTAGCCTCTCTGGGCTGTCTCTTCCGTAGCTCCCTTAATAAGCCATCTCTTCTGTGTCTTTTTCCACACTGCCCCCCACCGCCACCCCCATACATTTTCCATTTCTTTTGATGACTCCTAGTTATTCTGGAGTTCCAGGTTCCCCGTATCCAGGGAAAGGCACAGTATTTGTATTCTCCCTCCCCAGGCAAAGTGCACACTCCTCCTGCCCCAGGCTAGTGGGGCTGGGGTGTCTGTCTATCCTGTTTCTTGGGGGAGTCGCCCGGGGCAGAGAAGTCCAGGGTCCTCCTACCACAACAGAAGCCACTGAGGTCAGACAACGGGCTCTTTATTCTCCAGTTGGAGGGAGGGGCAGGTCCCCAGGGGTCCCACCAGGGGAAACCCGGCCTAGCTGTTCTGGCCCTCAGGGCAAAGGACGCCCCATCAGCCCACATGCTGCCCAGAACCCTGCAATCGTCCTCTGGTCACAACGGGGTTGAAGGAAAGGTAGGCCACTTCAGAGGTGCTGGTGGGCCTTGCGGTCCCCTGGCGGGCTGGCAGCATTTCCACAGGCGGTAGGTGAGGACCGTCAGGAGGAGCAGCCCCAGCACCAGGCTGCCCATCCACAGGGCTTCGGACATTGGTGGGGAGCCTGGAGGGAGAAGCATCAGGAGCCTGAACACCTCTTTGCAGGTTGTGGGGATAAGCCCAGCAGAACCTGCCAAGGGCTTCCAAATTTACCAAGTTCCCTAGAATTTAACAAAGGACTTAATGACTTAGAATAGCCCTTTTTAACCTTTTTCATCCGATGGCACACATAAACAGATTATTAGAATTCTGTGGCACACCAAAACATATATTTTTTGCCGATATGACAAAAAAATAGGTATAGCCCTAGCTGGTTTGGCTCAGTGGATAGAGTGTCAGCCTGGGGACTGAAGGGTCCCGGGTACTATTCCAGTCAGGGGCACATGCCCGGGTTACGGGCTTGATCCCCATTGGGGGGCGTGCAGGAGGCAGCCGATCAATGATTCTCATCACTGGTGTTTCTATCTCTCTCCCTCTCTCTTCCTCTCTGAATTCAATAAAAAATAGGTATAATTTTTATTCATTCACACGGGATGGCTATTGCTGTGTTGGCTGTTGTCATTTTTTATTTTTTAAAAATTTTTTTTACATATTTTTATTGATTTCAGAGAGGAAGGGAGAGGGAGAGGGAGACAGAAACATCAATGATGAGAATCATTGATCAGCTGCCTTCTGCATGCCCCATGCTGGGGATCGAGCCCACAACCCAGGCATGTACCCTTGACAGGAATCAAACCCGGGACACTTCAGTCCACAGGTCGACGCTTTATCCACTGAGCCAAACCGGCTAGAGCTGTTGTCATTTTTAAATGGACAATGTAAGGGAAAAGAGTTCGGTGCCCCTGACTAAAGAGGTATTGCATGTTTAAAAAATTCTTGTGCACGCTGGTTGAAAATCACTGGCTTAGAATGTCTTTGGAGATGTATAAAAACCACTGGAATATCCAAAGGACTTTGGAGTGAATCTTTTGAAAGGTATGTAGGACCTTAGAGTTAGAAGTGGGCTGTCCAGGGAGGTGGCCACTCACATGTCTATACTTGAAATGTGGCTTGTCTGGGTAGAGAAGTGCTTGCTGTCAGTGTATCATACACATTGTAAGAACATAAAATATCCCACTCATACCTTTTTACAGATTACACGTTGAAGTGATGATATTTGAGTTATTGGGTTCAATAAAATATATTATCTAGCCCGGCCAGTGTGCTCAGTGGTTGAGTGTCAGCCTATGCACTAAGAGTTTGCTGGTTTGATTCCTGGTCAGGGCACATGCCTGGGTTTTGGGCTCGATCCCCCGTGGGGGGTGTGCAGGAGGCAGCCAATTGACGTTGATGTTTCTCTATCATTGATGTTTCTATTTTTCCCTTTCCATTCCTCTCTAAAATAAATAAAAACACTAAAAAATGTTTTTTAAAAATACATTCTCTAACTCATTTTTACTTTTTTTTCTGAATGTGGCTACTAGAAAATTTGAAGTGACCTAAGTGGCTGTATTCTATTTTTACTCCACAGGCTGTTGTAGTCTATAAAGTTCAGTTTACAGACTGCTGTGAAATCTATGTAGTTCCTGAAATGCAGTCATGGCCATGCCAGGCAACTGTAATCTTATGTGTCAAGGAAACCCACTGGACAGTTGGGGAAGCTGAGACTGGGCAGGGCACCTCCTTGTCTAAGGCCTGTGTGCAAGGCTTCCTCCCTCCTAGGCTCCCCCCGTGCCCGCCCCACCCCGCCAAACTCACAGGTCTCTGGGAGTAGGTACAGACTGGCTGTGTGGCCCCCGGGGTCCAGGCGACACTGGAACCAGCCCTCGGGGTTGCATCCAGCCCACAGCACGCTCAGCCAAGCCTGGGCCCCGTCCTCCCTCTTCTTGTAAGCTGCCAGGTCGCCGGGTGCCCGGGTCCAATGCACAGCTATGCCAGGGCCACAGGCCGCTTCACACAGCAGCTCCAGACCCCCTGGTGTTGGCGACTGGTGGATCTCAGGGTGGCAGGGCCTGGTGGAGCTGTTCCCAGGCGTGGGGCTGTTCCCAGGCGTGGGGCTGTTCCCAGGCGTGGGGCTGTTCCCAGGACCCCCGGGGCTGGGGGTAGAGTTCTGCTCCAGGATGGCCTCTAGGGAGGTTGTGACCCGGGTCTCCTGGGAGGTCAGGCTGTGCCGGACTGGAAAAGAGGGCAGCCGTTTTTCTTCCTGTCACCCCAATTGCTTTCTTGCCTCAGTCTCTCCATCTGGACCATGGGGTTGGAGGAGAACTGCTAAACCGCCCACCTTGGGCCACTTGGTGAATTGCAATGTATGCGAGTGGGTAGGAGTGGGATTGGTCTGTTGTGGCCCTCCCCACCCTAAGGGAACTTCTGAATCTCCTGGTCTCACTTTCTTCAGCTGTAAAGGGGACGAGAGCCCACCACCTAGGCCCTCACATGTGCCCGGAGCGTAGGGTCAGCGAGCACGAGCATTGGATTTTATTATTATGGGACTGGGTGGTGGAGAGAGGGAGGATGCATCTGACACAAACTGAACACCTACTGTGTGCCAGGGCCCATGTTAAATGTTATTCTTCATCATTCAGCACCTGCTTACTGTATACCTGCTATGTGCTAGGCACTCTAACAGTTATTCATTCATTCAGAGTGTATCTATTCAACACCTATGTTCTAGACACTGTTTTAGCCAGTGAGAACACAACCATGAATAATACACACATTCCTATCTTGGTGAAGCCAAGAGCAGGGGAGATAGATAATGGGGAAAAAATTAAAAGAACATATGGGAGGTCAGATGTTAATAAAAATGTGTCAAGAAACATTCAACAAGAGAGAAAGGGTGTGTGTGTGTGTGTGTGTGTGTAAACATGTCCATGTGTGAGGGGAAGGGGGAAGTCAGAAGCCACACTGGGAAGGTGACCTGAGAGAGGTGAGTGAGGAGAAATCTGGGGGAAGAGCATTCCCAGTGGAGGGCACAGCATATGCAAAGGCTCTGAGGCTGGACCGTGTCTGTTGGAGGAATAGTGAGGACGTCTGTGTGGCTGGAGGAGAGTGAGGGGGAGAAAGGGAGGAAGTGAGGGCAGGAGATGATGGTATAGGTTGTGCAGGGCCTTGGGGGCCCCAGGAAGACCTTGGGCTTTTATTTGGAGGGAGATGGGAGCCCTGAAGGGCTGTGAGCAGAACAGGTGCTCACAGGCGCCCTCTGGTGGCTGCCACCAAGAAGACAAACTGGGGATGAGGATGGGAGCCAGGGACCAAGGGGAAGGGCAGAGCTGGTACCAGGGTACATGGAGGGTAGGTGCTCAGTAAATTTGTTGAATGGATGAATAAACAAATGATTTAGAAGTATCTCTCTGGCTGCCTCAAGGGACAGACTCAAGATGGAATGCAATTTTCCCATGGGCCTAGGGACTCTGACCTAGAGTAGGTCCCCTAGATGGGGACCCAGCAGGTGAGGGGCAGAATCAGAATTACAGGAGAGTTGCTATACACCACTCATCAAGGCTCCTAGGCACTGGGTAGTGTGATTTCACCCACTTCCTGGGGGACACTAAGGTTCAGGGCAGTCAGGACCCTGCAGACTCACCTGGAATGGGCTTTCGGTGGCTCAGCTCCAAGCCCGGCAGCCTCATGGTCGCCTGGCAGTGGAGGGTGAGTGGAGGTGTTCCCAGGGGGGGAAGCAGCCAGCGCTTTGTCACTTGGAACAACGGGTCCTCGCCCTCCTGGGGCTCCTCATCCTCCTCCAGGCCCAGCTCCTGCACCCCCTCCAGTTCCTGGTCCCCCAGGAGCAGGGACAAGGAGAGGACATCAGGGCTGGCAGGCGTGATGTTGTGGGCTGTGCAGGCCAACTCTTGGTCCCGCCCGGCCACCAGGTCCACTGGGGAGACAGTCAGCTGGTTCGGGAAGGCTGTGTAGGGAGGTTTGGAGGGGCATGGGCTGAGCCTAGAGCAGTGGTTCCCAACCTTTTTTTTGGCCACGGCCCACCTAAGCATCTCTAAAATCCTGATGTCCCCCCTCCTGTTACATATAATTCTTATTCAAAAAGTGAACTCTATTCTTGTGGAGGAAGCCTAAAAGGCCATTAACTTGGTCTAAACAAGCTTCCAAAGAACATGGCATCCATGAAAGAGAAAAGTAAAAGAATGAAAGGACAGTTGAAGTACTGAGGAAGAAATCTCTAAGAAATTATTAAAAAATAATATGAAGTGATATGAAAAAATAGCAAGTAAAGTTTCAAAACATATAATAGAGAACTGAAATGCATAAATATGTCACTATATATATATATATTTATATACTGTATATGAGGCTCCTAGCACCATAAGAAATGTAAAAAATTCACTGTTAATAACCCATTCTCGAATTGCCCCCCTTAAAGATCAAACTGCCCTTTTGGGAACCACTGGGCCCTGAGGAGGGTGATGAGTTGGGACCAAGCAGGAGGGAGTCGGGCCTGCTGGTGCGGAGAGACAGGGAAGACCCAGTAGGCACACCTTGCGTGGCTATAATGTAAAAAAGATGCTGGAGGGGGGTCCAGAGCAGAAAGAGTGCGTGTTGGGGGTCTGGTATGGGAGGTTTGGGGGTAGGTTGGGGGTGTGGGAGTGAAGGCTGGGAGCCTGGAGGGGGGATGTGGAGAGAACCAAGTGGATTGCATTTCAGTTGAGCTGGAGCAGGGTGGGCAATCTGGGAAGTCTCCCCGGCAGAGGTGGCGCAGAAACAGCTACAGCAGGGCTGCTGGGGGGGGGCCTGGCTGGTGCAAAGGCTGCGAGAGGAGGGGCGGGGGCTCACCAAACACCAGGAGTCGCACGGTGTGCTGGTAGGTGAGGCTCCCGCAGGAGCCCACACACACACGGGTCCCCGCAGACGACAGTGAGGCGTTGCGCACGGAGAGGACGCTGCTGCCGGCGCCCGACTGCACCGCGCCCAGGCTAGTGTCCAGGCCCCGCCACTGCACCGAGGCGGCCCTGGGGCCCGCACAGGGCAGGCGGCAGGTGAGCTGCCTCGACTCGCCCACGGCCACTGCCACCACGGGCTCGGGGGGCTCCACCTCCAGGCGCCCACCTGCGGGCAGACTGCGCTCTCAGTCCCACCCGCTCCCAACCCGCCCCCCCGCCCCCACCCCCCCCCACCCCGCTCAGACCCCTGCCCCGAGCTCCCTCTCTGCCACCGAGCCTCTCAGCCCCTCCAGAGCGGTCCTCTGTAGGACCCCCATCACCTCCCCATCACCTCCCCACCGCCCTTCACCCAGCGCCCTCCGCAGCCACTCCCCGCTCTCTCCTAAGCCCCCTCCCCTCTCAGAACCCCCTCTTTTCACCTAACCCCCTCCTCTCCCCAGCGCCCTCCGCACCCACTCCCCGCTCTCTCCTAAGCCCCCTGCCCTCTCGGAGCGCCCCCCCCCCCCAACCCCCCGTGGGCTCACCGCGGCCTGGCTGGAGGAGCCCCATGAAGAGGGGAAGCAGGAAGGCCAGGCCCGGTTCCATGCTGGGTCCCCTGCTCTGTCCATGGCCCTGGAGAAAAGTGGCTTAAATAGTGGTGCCTCGGGCTCCTTCCTGCCGCCCCAAGACCCTGCTGCTCCCCCGCCCGCAGCTGTTTCTCCGGGATTTCCCCCCCCGACCCCCGACCCTTGAGGCGACAGAGAGGCTGGGGCTGGGGGCCAGGGGGCGGGCCGAGGCCACACAGATGAAGGGGGTGGGGGTGCGGGGGGGAGATCTGGGCCAATTCCAGGGCTCACTCTCAGAGACGGAAAGATCGGGAGGTGGGGCCAGAGGAAGGAGACCGCGAGGTCAAGTGAATGGAAAACCCAACGGGGCCCAGGGGCGGCGCCATCCCGCGCGCGTCGGGCGAATCTCGGCCTTCACTGCCCTGAGGGCCGCGCGGGGTCAGTCAGA